CAAAATAGTGACTTAAATGAAGCTATTGCTAAGACTATACAATGGCTCTTCAAATGTAAATAGGCAAAAGTAACTAAAAGATATTAAGTAGAAAATATTCCCTATTTGCAATACAATGATAATATAAAGAAAAGCAATATATTAATACTGATGATATTAATAGTCCTGATGATAATTAACCTAATATCAATTTCGAGAAGAGATAAAAGATAAAAGACAAAACAATTAAGAAATTAAACCTGATGCTGCATTATATGTTCCTTTACACTGCCACAAAAATTGTTATAATCCCTTTCTTTAACCACCTCCATTTGTTCTTTTCCTTCTACCGCACCAAAAACCAACTTTTCTCTTTTTTACTTTCTATTTCTTTACACTGCAACAGAAGGTTCCAATCATATTTTGCTAGACAAAAATAGACTCTAATTGCTTTTAACAAGCCAATACTAAATAAACTCTAATTGGAGAACAAAACATTTTTCGAAGAGATTCCGTAATTTCCACTTTTAACCATCCTGATTACGTAACTCAAAGAGCTCAAAGGTTAAAGAAAAAAACAACAACTAACGTGACTTCCATATGAAAAAAAAGAAATTCCATTCCCCAGAAAGATCAACCTCGTCCCCAGCGTCCTCTCGTTTTCCAATATAGCGGCCACCGCCATATTGGAAAACGAGAAGACGCTGGGGACGAGGTTGCAAGCAAATACTTACAGTAAGGCTAGACAGGACCAAATATGTCTCACCAGTGAGAGCGACCAACATCTCATCCTACGAAACCGTCCACACAAAGCAATTTCAATGTGGCAAAACGTTAAAACGTGTGAAAACCTGTAAAGAGAGGCAAGGCGAAATATGTTTGGCCGGCAAGAGCGCCAAACATCCCATGAATATTCCTCGTTTACTGATCCATACGAAACAATTTCAATTTTGCAATCAATCAATCAACAACTTTATTTAAGTGTCTAGTCTTCTAGCTTGCCGTCAGACCTACTGATCGGGGACACTACTTAAATTACTTATTAATAAGAAATATGTATACATAATACTATAAGCTAATAAGATTTAACTATTCTAAAACTACTTAAAAGATACACGATATTCAATATGCTTCGAAAATACACCTATGTAATAAATAAGAAAAAACTATATGTACAATTTTATAATATATCAACTCTACTAGTTATGATATTTTCTGTTTATGAATTATGAGTCACACAGGTGGCACCCTTTGCATGCGTTATCACTAACCAATTTGCTCAGATCTTTTCTCCTTATATTTGCTTTAAACCTGCTTAAGGAGGTCTCGTTTCTGTCCTTCATACTCAATTTTGACCATAAAAATGGCCCAAAAAATCTGAGGGAATGCTTTCCATATTTAACAGTTTTTACCCTTTGAACGTGAAAGTCCGAGTTCCTCAGGTTGTAGTTCGAAGGCGATGACGAGAAGAGTTCTAGTATGTTGTAAGGCAGTAATCTATTCCTTATTTTGAACATAAAGATAGCGATATCTTGTAATCTCATGTTATATAGACTAGTCAATCCAGCGTGTGTAAGAAGGTCACCATAAGGAGAGACTCGATCTTTGAAGACTGTACGTAGTCCTCTTTCATTAATTCTCTCTAGCTTGTTTCTGTCGCTTGCTCGACAAAAGTGCCACACCAAGCTACAGTATGCGAGATGGGGTAAAACTGCAGTTTTATATATCCGTAGTTTTGTGCTCATCGGGATTAGATTCTTTAGCCCTTGAAGAACACCAATCATTTTACTGGTTTTTATGCAGACCTCTGATATATGCTGCGAGAAATTCAAGTCCTTATCAATAATTATGCCTAGCAGTTTGAATGCATCGGTAAAGTTAATTCTGCAATCATCAATCACTAGCTCCATTTGTTGTGTGTCCCTTGCTATAGCCATTGCTTGGTATTTGCTATAATTGCCTTGCAGAAAATTTGTCTTATACCACCTCGATGTCTCTTCCCCATCTTCCTTAATTCTATCTGTAGCTATGTGCAGATTCAAATTGGAGCAGTAGATCTGATGGTCATCGGCATAGGCAGACAACTGAGATTTAACGCCAGTGTAGAATAAATCGTTTTGATACACGTTCCACAACAGCGGTCCCAAGGATGACCCTTGCGGCCAGCCTCGTTTGGCAGCTTTCCAAGCACTTGTGTAGTTGCCAACTCTTGTTCTGTTTTCCCGATCATCAAAATATGATGGCATTAATCCCAAAGAGGGGTCATACAGGCCATAGGCTTTCAACTTTGCCAGTAACAGATTTGGATGTAATGAGTCAAAAGCTTTGCTCATGTCCGTGGATAATATCACTGATGCATGCCCTTTGTCTGCTGCATGCTTCCAATCTTCAGTAAGGTGTATCAAGGTCGTTTCGCAGCTGAAGTGTTTGCGGTAAGCTGACAAAAAGGTATCGAAAATTGGCTCAATCATTTCACTTAGTTGTCTACATATTAGCTGCTCAAAGATTTTATCAACCGCAGTTAGCACAGTTACTGGTCTGTAATTAACTTTATCTAAGGGGTCTTCCTTTTTATAAATCGGAATCCACTCTCCTCTTTTCCAGGCGCTGGGCCAACGATTTTCCTCAATAGCCAGATTAAATAGAGTAGTCAGTGGTGTTGCTAGCAGTTCTGCTGTCATTTCGAGTACTCTTGGAGGTAACATATCATATCCTGTTGCTTTATGGGGATTAATTTCTCTCAGTGCTGTGAGGACCTCATTCCTATCTAGTCTTCTGAAACTGAATATATCTGGATCGTGCCTTGCGTTTATGCTCGCGACACTATGATGTTGATAACATAGAGCCTCTGTTAGACCCCACACGTCAGTCCCACCAATATCAGCTATCGAACAAAAGTAGTTGGTAAATTCTTGTGCCACAAGCCTCTGGTCCTGATGTGTAACACCTTCGATATTAAGAGAGATTAAACTTTTGTCCTGTTTTGGTTTGGTCCTGAGGAACGGAGTAAAGGTGTTATAGAATCTTCTTGAGTCATTATTCATGCCCTCGCATATGGCATTCCAGTAATTCTTGATCGCCTTTCTTCTTAATCGTGTAGCATTATTGCGCCATTTCTTCATTAACTCCATGTTTTCTTTGGTTTTGCTTTGACTGAATTTCTTGGCATACTTTCTCTTTTTACGGATGGCTTCCTTCCACTCACCCGTCATGTATGGTACGTCTATCTTCCGTGCTTTAACTCTCTTTAATGGCAGATGTTTATCCACAATCCTCATTAATTCCGTGTACCAATTAAAGTAGAAATATGCTTCTACTTATCGAAGAAGGCGATATATTGTAACTCCTGATCAAAAAAAGCATAGATTAATAGTTTCGTTGGGTCTCCCAAATAACGCACCAAACCCTGAGATAGAAGCCAAGTGAGAGACGTGTAAGCGAATTCTTCCTTGATAACAAATGCCTCTTTTCCCTGGTATTCCCGCCGAATACCAGGGAAAACAGGCCTCTGTTAGCAGAGAAAGCAAATTCGAACTGCTTCACTGAACCTTGATGCTGTTATTTTAACTCGTTCAATTTGTCATGATGTATAAAGCGAATTTGTTTGGAGCTAATTATTTTTAAGGAATTAAGAAAGGTTCGCGAAAAAAGAAGAAAATCCGGCTCTCTTATGTTAATGTACAACCACGACAACAACGCCAAAAACAACTGAGGTTTTATGAGCAAACAAGAGCTAATTTTCCCGTGCATCGCGTTTTGTAGTACATTTCTATGACGTTCACTGCACAACTACAGCCTGGAACGTCCTTATATTATACGATGTTTTATGGAGGACTAGCCTGACACCAGGCTCCGCAGTTGGGAAAAAGGCAAGTGAAGCGAGCCGAGCGGTAGTCTGGGAAAGGAAATCTGGGCTTCTCAGTCTCCACCCGCTTCCGATTGGAGAGAAGCGACGACCGGAAATACGTCTGCGTTCGCAGGCTACCTTCCCCCCCCTGCGGAGCCTGGTCCCAGGTTAATGCCCGTGGAGGACGTGAACACACGACAACGAATTCCACTTTAATTTTTTTAACCTGGATAAAGTCCTTAAGGATTAACCTCCAGAAAAAAAATCGCCCACATTTGACAAATGGGGCGGGTCTAAATAGATGCGATAAAGATTGAAAGAGCGCAAAATGGTCTTTTTTCCAGCGACGTTTTCATTGCCGTCGTTTACCAGTAGACAAGCAGAATTCCCCTGTACCCAGCCAGAGGTACCAAAGGATAAGCTGAATTTCCTGTGCCCATTTGTACGTTTTGTACCAACCGTCAGGAGACATAGATTGGGGTTTTATTAATTTTTCATAAGGAGTACGAAAATGTTTTGCTTAACTTCTGCACGTAATAGTCTTTGTTTATTAGATTGACATGTAGGCCTTTTTTATTTATTTATTTTTTACTTTCACTTTGAAAAGGGGGAATTAAATTAAGTGATTGTTTTCGATCACTATCTTGCATAAGGATTGGTACTGATAATCTGTTGATAGTGATCGATCACTATCTTGCATAAGGATTGGTAGTGATAATCTGTTGATAGCTTCCTTAATTGAAGTGATTTGGAACTTCTCGTAGCCCTGATCCCGTGACCGCTGAGAGTTGTATCCATCCGATTAACTCACAGTTCGCCAATAAAAAAGCGCTCAGTATTTGTCGCGTGTAGTCGTCATCTTTTATTTTGATAGCATAGCGTTCACTGTGGCCTGGAGAGTAGAGAGCCAGGACAAGCTTAGACATTGATTGGCTGCATTGGTTAGAACTGAAAAAGAAGTAGCACTATCATAACTGTCAAGGTTTAGGGTAAAACGTTTGTTTATAGTGGAAAGTGCACTTAGGTTATCCATCTAGTTTACAGGCATTCTACTCAAATACTTAGTCAGAACCAAATAATTCAAATATAACATAACAGGACTAAAAACCCTAACTGGCGAAGGCAACCAGTTGGCTATCTAAAATAGTGGCCGAGGATTTGAACAAATCCAGTAAGTGGCCTGAGCGAGCCTCAAACCAGCGAGTCCGACGCGCTGACCACTCGGCTACGTTGCCATTTCGTAGTCTACATTCACTTTCGTTCTTTTCTTTTCACCAAGGTTTTCTTTCAAGACGTGTTTGCGGAGCCCGAGGGTTCTCACAGCATCGATGGCGTGTGGCGAACCAGCTTCAGAGCGTTTGTACTAACTAAATACTGGTGTTACCGGATCATCACCGCAGTTTGTGGCGTTCCAACAGCCATTTTGTGTGGAATCTACTTCGCATGCCTCAGTTTTGATTACATATGGTGTATAATGCCATGTCTACGAGCCTACACAATCGAGCTGCAATTCCTTGGAAAGTTGTTCAGCTTGTGTGTTCGCAGCTTCTTCGACCCATTTTTCGAATCCGTGGGGAAAATTTTCGGTGGAGTAAAAATTGAACGAAAAACCTTTCAAGTATGATGCTACTGCTGGAAAAAAAATTACGAGTATCCTACATGTACTTGTAGAAACCTTTTATTACCAAGGCCCTATTTTTTTTCGGGATAGTCGACGGACCTGGGTGTGTTCGCTTGAGCCAGGGAGGAAATGTTTCTAACAAAACGGGAGTGTTACGCTCCTCTTCCTTACACTCTTTTCCTCCTTGACTATTTTCAAGCGAAAAAGAACTGCCTATGGTCGAAGCACGTGGCTTTGGTATCTCGGTAATAGCTAGGTTCATAGCTGGGAAACACTGGGATTCTGCAGAATAAGATTACATACAAAGTCATGGGGTTTCAACAGCTTCTACGCCCCACATCCCCTTTGGCTGGTAGACCGCTGTGTCGAGCTGTGGAAGCGTTGCAAACTACAGTCACATTTAATTTCTGGTCAAATTTGTTAGTTTTGACAGCCTTATATGAATAAATTTAACATTATATTACTGAATTATTTATTCCGAGTGATGTAAAGCCTAATCTCCTTTTCCTATATTTAGTGCGTTTGGAAGTTACATTTACGTTTTAACATATGTAACCCATCGAATTCACCATTCCATGCCACTGACAAGTTATAAGAATTAATTTAATACTCCACGTTGTTTTTAATGTGGCTCTGTTCATGGAAACAACTGAAACAATCACTACTTACGCTTTCTTGGAAAGTTCATTTTATTACGTCTGTGTTAACTGAATTTGCTAAAACGTGCCTCCTGGGTTTCTCTTGAACATGGGTATCGTCCATTTTAAAGCCAGGGAGCCCCCAAAAAATGTATCGGTATAATTTCCGTCCGCACTGACACCGGTGCTTGCAGGTAGTCCAGGTAGGTAGGTAACTAGTTCTAGCCGGGATTTGGTAGGGGAACTTTAGATACTCTGGTAAGTGTTTTTAGTGAGAAAGCAGTGCAAAGTCAAGGAATTTTCCCCGTGGGCTAGCCCAGCCAAATCCATGCTCTGACTGATAATCATAAAGCTAATTGCAGAGCTCGGGGGGAGCGATTGACTAGTCATAAGTGTCATGGGTGGGGAGTGTGAGTTCTTGATTCTTGGATTTGGCCCTCTAGAGAATGAGTGCAGGCACCTTCTATCAAGATCCGGTCAGTCATAAAATATGCAGATTGACAGAAGCCTCTCGACGAAGACGCAAAGAGTTAATTCTTTTCTACCGAGACGGGTTGGAGAGGCACAGGGTTGGGACGAGGGCTCTCCCTGCCCGCTCACGGTCCTGCCCGCCCCTCTTTATCCCGTCTCTTTTCTTAGTCCCGGTTCAGACGCCGTACTTTTCATGAGCCGAACCTAATACATTGAATTAAGTACATGAAAAGTTCGGCGTCTGAATCAATTAGGAACGCCTGTTTCAATTTGGAACCGCTCAGCCGTTCTTTTCGCCTAGCCCGGCCGGGAATTTCGCCTTCGGATCGACTTTGGAACGCCTTTGATTCAGACGCCGAACTTTTCATGTACCGAACCAAATGCAGAAATTCTTACAACGTATATATTTTGTAAGCAGTTTGACCGAAATGCGCATTTTTCGCCTTCTGAATTTAGTTCGGCTGGAATTAAGATCGGCGTCTGAATCACTTTAGCCGGTCTAAATAATTTGGGTCGGCCTTAATTCGAATTAGGTTCGGCTCATGAAAAGTTCGGCGTTTGAACCGGGCCTTAAGCACCCTATACCTGTTAGATTAACCGCGACGACGGAAATCTGAGCGCTAGATACGGCAGAACAGGTTACATTTTCATTTTGAATGCTATCGTCAAAATTTTAAAGATTCAACGAAAAGCTAATTTATCTTCTTCCTATTTTCCTTTATTTTTTTTTTCGTGATGCAATAAGCCAGTGCAAACTTACTACGTCCTCCTCACGAAACCCTCTCTTTGTTTTTGTTTCAATACCTTTTGAAACACAAAGAACAAACTACCAGTCAAATTCAATTATTTGCTTTTCATACAGGTGGTTGTAAAGACAGATTTGATGTTGTGTTTTTATCGTTTTCCACTGAGTTTATATTCCATTTTAGTGTGATACGTTTTGATACATTTTGCGATAAAGCCAAGAACCATGTCCAGAGATGAACTGCGCGAGGTTGAAGTACAAGTCAGAGGCAATGAAAACGAAGCACAATACGGACATCAAATAAGTATGAAAGATAGAGATCCCACAGCAATGAATGATCACGTGAAGGTAAATAAACCGACGACACAGGCACTGAATTTAACACGCTAACCGTTACACTTTCAAAATGGACAAAAACGTATTTGTATTAATCACCAAATTTCATCCAAGGGTTTACAATTGAGAAAAAAATTTTTCTAATTTTTCTTGGCATATGAGTGGCGACCCTTTTTACCCAGAGAATTAAGTTTTGTGACCATTGGACAAAGCAATCGTAGTCACGTAAACGTATGGTTACTAAAACTCCGGGATCCAAAAGCACTTTGCAGAATACTTTCATTACCAGTGATACTTTCGCGTTTGAAAATAATGTTTTCCATCTGGTACTTTTTTAGTCGACTTAACAGCAACCTCCCAGATTTTAAAATCGCATATCAAGACGATGGTGGTCGATGTTGACTATACTAAGAGCTTGGTCGCCTGAAGGGATCACTTTGATTGCATGACCAGTTCTACGATCTTTTACACAAGATCTTTAACCGTGAGAAAAACATGGGTAAAATAAACAAAAAAACATCACAGGTGACCCTTGTGATAGACCAGAATGTCCTCTAGGCCTTCTGGTGTATATGGAATCAAATTTTCAGAACTTTTCAGTTCCAGTTACAAGAAAATTTTCTGACTTCAATCAGATCTTGAAATATTTCATTCTTTATCATCTAGGTGTTTTTTCAAGATGTGTTCGCCGAACCAGAAGGATCCCATAGTATTGATGGAGTTTGGCGTACTAGCTTCAAGGCCTTTGTTAACACAAAGTTCTGGTGTTACAGAATAATTACAGCTATTCTTGGCATCCCCACCGCAGTGCTTTGTGGGATATATTTCGCCTGTCTCAGTTTTGATTATGTTTGGTGTATAATGCCCTGCCTGAAGGCGTATGTTATTGAGTTGCAATGCTTAGGCAAAGTATTTGGGCTCTGCCTGAGAACATTTTGCGACCCTTTTTTTGAATCTGTAGCAAAGATATTTGGTGGGATCAAGGTTTCGACGCAAACTGTATGAAGACAAGGAACGATGTTATCAATTATCTTTGCTTAATTCGGTGCCTGAAAAACTGCGCGCCATAACCTGAACTTTACAGACAATTATCATAATATGAGTGACAATGACAATAAAGAATGTACTGACGTCCGTTGCAAGCTGGTACTAAGGAATCAGACCCCTTGCGGGGGAAATCCCACCCGAACTCTTCCTCTCCTAAAGGGGTGTAGATTTCAGACTCTGTTCTCACTTAGGGTACTTCAATAAATCGGCGTCCCCGGCAATATTTGACTCGAAGAAAGCAGGAGAAGAAAAGGGGAAAGAAGACGCAATCAATCACGCCTTTATCCCAATTCAAATTACAGTAGCTCTTATTCAGCTACCCATTTTAGAATGGTATCTTGTGGGGTCTAATAAACCTTAAAGCTACCCCAGGTTCATCTCCTTTAGGTTAATTCCATTTTTTTGCCTCCTTCTCATTGGAACCCCTCCCCCTACCCGCCCTGTCTAACAACAATAACACACAATTTCGATTATAAAAAATGCAGTTGGGAGCAGGTCAATAGGCTATTTTACAGTTGTGGATGGAAGCGAGGCTGAGGGTGACCTTGTTTTGAACCTTCCTGCTTTATTATGTAAATCAAGTTATTCTTATGCTAACTAGTATTTTTCAAGAATAATTTCCATAACAAAGCAGAGAGGGTTTCTATCAAAACAAGGTCACCCTCAGCCTCGCTTCCATCCATAACTGTAAAATGGCCTATTCCCGACGTCAGTGGCTTCATAGCTCAGTTGGTAGAGCATCGCACTGGTACCACGAGGTCACGGGTTCAAACCCCGTTGAAGTCCTAAATTTTTTTCAGGCTTCTTTACGCAATTGCATAAATTGCGTTCACTGCGACGATCATTTCTTCATTTTCATTTCATTTCCGCAGTTCATATATGATTTATTTCATATATCATTAACCCATTCGCTCCTGGAGATTTTGCCGAAAAACGCGTTTTGAAGCTAGTCGAGTGGTTTTCTGGTCACTGTCGTGCTATAAAGGGCTAAAATTTACCACAAACCGGTTTACAGGTCGTACACTTGGCGGCCTTCTGATCCAGATGCAAAATATCAGCTTGCGAAGTTCGGGCATGCGCAGAAAGCAAAATTGTGACACAGCAGTCTTGACTTTTACTTTTCGCTTTTTCTCCTCCCTTCTTTTTTCGCTTTTCTTGCCTCATTTTTTTTTCTCTTGCTGGGCATTTAGTAGGCTTCATTTTGGTGGGAAGAGTTTTTAGGAAAGCTTTTAGGATCTTAGAATTAGGTGAAAGGAAAGGTAGGTGGGCAATGGAACAAGATTTTCATGGAGATTTTCTTGTCAATGTCACGTGGTTTTTTGCTTCTTTCTCCGGTTTCCTTGACTGAATTTTGTTCATTCTGGTATGGTTTGAAAGATCTCTTCACTCTACACAAGTTAGCGAAGAAAGTTGTCCTTGACCGTTAAAAACGGATGACGTCACAAAGGGTAGAAAGGACCTGGATCGGCACGGGCGGTTACGGGCGGTTCATGGGCGAATGGGTTAACGATAATAATAATAATAATAATAATAATAATAATAATAATGATGATAATGAGTTTGTACAGCGCAAATATTATAAACAATATTCAAAGGCGCTTTACATTCAGTTACAATTAAAACATACTTAAATCTAAAAAGAAATTTTAAAGTTCTCTACTAAATTAGAAGTAAATATTCAAAAGCGCTAAACATTCACCAGGACTATTCCAACAAATTAACTGCATTCTTAAAGGAAATCTTTTAAATTGCTTTGTAATAATGGTGAGCCTGCTACTAGTACTAATAGTTACTCAAGTGTAGAGCAGTTGACTTTTGGAACGAACAGAAGAGATTGCGCAGAGCATAATTTGCGGCAGGTTTCAGAGACAAAAGAACATACGAGTTATAGCCGTCGCATTTTCCCCGGCGTTGGAATATTAATTATTTACAAACCAGAATACAAAAAGTCGTGCCAAGCCCTGCCGACTTTCAATAGAAACTGTATAACTCATCAGAAAAATCGTTGATGAACACAACCTATCACCTAACTAGTTCAAGCAACATTAAAAGGCTGTGATTTAGGTCAGTAATAAACAGGAATGCTGGAATTTTTTAACATGTTTAAAGGAGATGTGCGGCCGGCCATGTGCAGATGAGTATGTTTACTGGGGAGGTATACTATTTATGTACTGATTTTATTGTCGTTGAAGTTCAGCTGCTGTGAAGCTGAGAAAATTTTAACTGGGGAATAGCTGAGAAAATAGAAGAAGTTTCACGTCTCCCTTATCTTTTTTCAATATATCGGATATGTCAGACCATAGAATAAAAGAGTAAGTTGGACATTCAGTCTTGATTTGAAACACAGACTTCTCTTGGATTAGAAATTCTTAAATCACCAAGAGATAATTCTTCCCATTATTCTTTCTCGAAATCGCAAAATAACGAAAGCCGTCATGAGTAAGACGAGTAGGGTAAGGTCTCCTTTAGAAATCAAATGGAGTCTGGCCAAGCCACGCCTACATTGGTCTTTAAGGGGTTTCCTGATTCTAATTTTCCGACGAGAGTCCCCCTCTGGTAGAGGTCACACAGTTCACACGAGAATGATAATAGCATTCGTTGGTAAGTAATTTCTCCCATAACTACCAAAACAGTAGCCATAGGCTCCTGACCAAAATTACTCATTTTTACCACACTTAAACTGCGATGCAAGCCTTCCATACTCTGGTTCGAGTCTGTCTTTTATAGCCAGTCAATGGTCATTTTAACGTATTTACACCAAATTGTATCTACGACAATCTACCTGTGACATGTTTTCTCATTCGTGACACTGTTACTCCACCTTCGACCAGCGAAATTGATTTGATTCTTGATCTCCATTTCGCCTCTTATTAAAAGACTGTAGAGAGGTTTTGGTGCTATAATTGCTTCGGAATTGAAACATTTGTGACTCCACATACATTGATCATCGCCATCCCGAAGGGACCGCTTAGGTAGATTTTGTGACATTTATTGTGCAGTCATACTTCGATACTCTTTTGCGTTACGCAGTGACCCCGGGGCAGTGACATTCTGTGAAGCAGTTGTTTTAAAAGTTATGGTCCAAAAGACACTCGTTAAGGGCAGATGAGGTTATAAGGTGCGTTTAACTGTGTATATATAAACACTTGGAGAGTTTGCCAGACACGAGTTCACAAATCTTTGATTTATATTAGAAACGTTGAGGCCCCAGTAGGGGTTTTCGGGATACGGGATATTCGCCGAAAAAATTACCGGGATACGGGATATTTGAGGAAAAAGTTATTGGGATACAGGATATTGAGAAGTAGTTTCAGGGATACGGGATATTCGCAAAAAATTGTAACATATCAGATGTTTGATGAGAAACGTTCTTGGATTACTTAATACATGCCCTTTTCTGTATTTTTGTAGATGATTAGATGATGAATGAAAAATATACAAGTGTAAAACAAGGCGAGACCTCTGTAATGGCGCAGGTAAAAGTGTCATCCGGCCTTGTGGAGCGAACGAAGGAGCTCGGAATTTTTTACTTCAAAATAAAACTTCAGTACAAGCGAAATGTGCCCGAGGCCGAGTTTCCAAAGGGACGGATATTTGCAATTGATAGTCAGGATCAGTTCGAAGTTGCCAGACCTCTTCTCCAGGAAAAACATGAGCTGATCGGTAAGTCCTACTCAGTTTTATTGTTGTCGCTACCAACATGATTTTGCTGATTTGAATCTGTTGACATTGTTTGAATAACAACCGACCAATAACAACAATAACTTATACAAATATCGATTGGTATTACAGCGAAAGTCATTGAGGTCCAATGTGCAACAGTGTCTGAAATGCTGAATAGAAAATTGACAAAATCTGTGGTTAATAAACGCAAGCATGACGATAATGTCAATCATTATACCTGTTCTACGATTGACAGTCAAATATCCACGCTTGCTAATGACACTAATGACCTCGCTAATGTCTCTATGGTTGATTAATACCAAAGATAAACTGATGTTTGACAAAAGTTGTACCATTTGTGCCACTGGACTGCACAGAACACATGAATTAACCAAATGCTCAGGACGGCAACTAACTAATAAACGAACAAAATGAGAAAGGACTTTGGTATCAGGCGATATGTAGAAATTAAGGGCATCAGGTAAGCTAATTATATTAACTGGTATACAAAAGTGATTTTGGTGGCAACATTTGTTAACTTTCCACTTGATATCTACCATATTTTGAATGACAGCAGTTTAAACAGCTGTCACAATAAGCTCCTTGAAAACCATACTTGTCCAGTTTACGTTTTAATGCAAGTGAACGAATATTATAAAATATATCGTAGCAAGTAACATATGAAAAATGGCCGATACTTTAATTTCCCGGATATTTGTGACCGGAATTTATGGGATACAGGATATCTGGTCAAAAAATTACAGGGATACGGGATATTAAGACCCCCTCTAATGGGGCCTCAACGTTGCCAGACACTCTTTCTCTTTCTTTGACCGGAATAAGACTCAGCCCTAAACAAGCAAGACGAGTGAACAACAGCTAGCTTATCGCTAGCAGATTGATGGACAATTACAGAAATTCTTCGACAATCAAATTCGGTGCTGACTTATTCCCTGCTCACAGATGTCCTTCCGTTATAAAGTTTCAAATAAGACTAGAATGCGCGAGCGTGAATCGATCAAACGTCCTTTTAATTCCTAAGGCTTACTTTCCAGCAAATAAAATGAACTGAATGTAAAAAGTGAAAGAGAAATAGCGTAAAATTCAACTTCTAATTAAATCTTTTCTTATGGTTTAGAGTAAACTATTCTCGAAACTGAGAATGTTTTGATCAAAGCTATGTAAATCGAGCTGAAACTGTGCATGGAACCTTGCGTTTCCTGTATAGTTATCTCACCTATTGTATGGACTATGTGTGAAAATCTTCATTATCAATCGGTATATTTCAAAGACCTACACAACCAGCAAGAATACTAATGACCGACAATATACAGAACGGGGGCAGCTGTAGTGTCAACTATTACTAGTTATTTACACTAACATTGCTAGTGGGGATTTGTGGGGTGTGGTGAAAAATAATCGTATCAGCGGCTGTCCAAACTTCTTGTTAGCCGAAAGGTAACCTGGCCTGTTACAAAATCTTTTGAAAATGGCGGCCACGGACATCATTTCTGATGCCGATTTGCGTCGCCAACTGAACGCATTAGGTGAAGACGTCGGGCCTATTACTAACACCACAAGACCGTTCCTTATTCGAAAACTGAAACGCTTACGGAATGAGCAAGGAGTGGGTAAATCAAGGGATTCAAAATCTTCTGCAAAGCGAGGTACTTCGCCTGGTCGCCGCAAGTCGTTACCCGTAAAAAGAAGTAAGAGCCCGTCTCGAAAACTGATCGGATTTTCAAGCGATGAAGAAGACGCAGGGCCCAGCCTTTCAAGTACTTCAAGAGATTTGAGTAGTTTAAGAGGTAGACGTAAAGAAACAGCGACCAGTAATGACGAAACAGCGGAAAGATCAGGAATTAGCGCAACGCCGTCTCCTACTCGTACTAGTGGCTTACGGCATCGAGTGCCAAGTTTTATCGACAGCCTTCCTGAAAGGACTTTAGATAATACAGATGACAATGACGCGGAGTTTTCAGATCAGGACGGAAAAGTGTCTTTCAAAGGAACAAGTCGAACTGGTGGTATAACTAGATATTTCGAGAGAAAGCGTGAGAGAGTAGAAAGTGAAAAATCAGAAACTCTGCACGCAGTCCGTCCTTCTTTGTATGGCCGCGATGACAGCGCTACTATTAATACGGAATTAAACAGCACTCTTGGAAAGAGACAAAGTGGAGCCAAAAATGTGAAAACTAGCTCCTTGTGGTCCTTAACAATCAAGATCTTGGTATTGATTAGCGTTATTTGCGTTACTATCTTCATGTTGTATGCCGCACTCAAGAGCCACTTGAGCGAGGAAGAGCTCCTTGAACAGTTAGGTAAGAAATATAACATGTCTTTTTGCTGAATGCATGTCATCTAAAATGCCAAGATTACGTTATTTTCTAATAATCAAGTTAATTCAATTAATTTAATTGGTTTGTGGATACAATGTACTTTACTAATCAGTTAGCATGATTTCAGCCACTTTTGTTGATCATTAATTTTATACCCTTTTGATAATGTTTAAAGCAGGAAGTCTTTTATCTCACTCTGTTTTCTTAGTGAAACTACCAGTTTGCAAAGGAGGAGATAATAAAGTACAGAAGTTGGATAGTGATAATAAGGTATCTATTTTCGTGATGTACTCAACAAGTATGTTGCATAGCTGCAAATATCATATTTAAAAATATCTGACTGAAATACCGCATACCCAATGTCAGATGAAATCCAACCCGCAGTTGGATGTAGTGATCCAATAGATCAAATAATCAACACTACCATTTTGCAGCTGAAGATTTGCATAGTATTGAAAGAAAACAAAAGTCAAGATACATGTACAAGCTGTAAATACTGACCTGATGACTTCTGGTTTGTCCGACAGAAAGTGGTGACTTGGTCAGACAAATGTCCCTTTGAAAAAAAATATTTGCAGGCCTGATGTTGTGATTGATTAATGATAATAATTATCATAATTGATCAATAATGGCAATGCAATTGTGACTTTAACTTCTTGTACCATATATTTAAACCATTTTGGCTACCTACTGGCCAGTTTATTGACAAAGGAAGAGAATTACTATAGTAACTAAATTACTACAGTAAAACCCAGATAATTTGGACACCAAGGGGTCTTGCCACAGCATCCATATTATTGGGGTGCCCTTATTAAGCGGTCTCTTAGGAAAACATCAAGGACACATTTTATCAAAGTAAAGATACACAAGAGCAATAACTGAAGTTAAAACCTGAAGAAGTGAAACTTGTGTAATACACCACTTGCACATCTCCCATAATGCACCTTGTTTACCAATATAACCAAGATAATATCAGGTTCCTATTTTTATGTGTATTTACAAGGTTGGGCCCAGTTGGCTTGTGAATCATGAGTCTCATTAAGGGCTGGGGGCTGGGGATTTTCCCCGGCAACGATGAACATTGTCCTTGTCTTCTTTTATAGGAAAATAGAAGAAAAATAGAAGCAAAAGAATTTGCGAGCTGTTTGACTCCCCACCTACTTGTTGTAATTACTCGGCAGCTTGAAATCTTACTGACAGCCCTCTGATTGATTTCTGTCAAGGAAGTCATGGCTATTTTGCAAAGAATATAAACCTGCAAGTTCAGATAGCTTCTTAAGTCTGTGTATTCCTTTAAAGCACCTCTCACTGGAAGTCCATTTTGATTGGAATTTTGGTAGCCAACAAAACAATAATTAAATTTATTTCTGGTACTGACTATGACGTACAGTTAGAAATTATCATCTGCAGTTAAATGAGATACATGTTTACCATATCAAAATGGTCATCCAGCTTCAAAGTAAGCCGTTAAGAGTGTTCTTCTTCAAATAATATCAAATCTTTTCTCGGACTTTGAACTTTGTGAATTCCAGGTGTATTATTACGTGTATCTACAGCGTACGTACTGATGGTTCAATGTGAAAATGTCATGGAATTCTGCATTTTGTTACTTACATTTAGACATAAAGGAACAAGTGTTTTTTTTTTGTAAAAAAAGCTGTAGAGTGACAGAAGATGATATTGCAATTATGTACTATTATTTTTTAATCCCCACTTAGACATTTTACCAATACAGTGATGAATATTGTCACTGGATTAATATTGTATCTTATGGCAACATTTTTGTGTTGATTCTTTTGACATGCTTTCACTAGCTTTGCTTGGAAGAGCCAACATTTGCACATGTAATCTGTTACAACCCTGATTTGCTTATCACCTTACATTTGCAAATTAATGTACAATACAAGCACTTTTTGTTTTCAATTTTTCCTTACTGCACACAAAAATGTTAGTTATGAATTTTTGAACACCATAAAACAAAATATAGGTAACAATGTCTCCAAAGACTTGCGTATTAAAAACTTTTTGAGGTAGTAACTTTTGGTGGTTTGAATAATGGTTTTATGGCTTGTCTCAAACTGTAGTAGAAAGCCTTTGTGTCAGTTGAAACCGTTTCAATTTCCTCTAGTTATATAGCTTGCATTTTATCTAGCCACACATCATCTAGACCAGTGGTATAATCTATTTGTGAATACATGTAGGTGCAAAGAAAGCTTGTTTTGACAATCCAGCAGAGTTGCAGATCATTATGTAAGCATTTTGATTGGTGGGTTTCTTGTGCACCTCACAATTGGTCCACTTCCCCATGTGCATGACAGTATATCGGAGCTTTTACAGCAATGAAAAAGTAGTTTGAACCTGAAAGCCTTCCTCCTGAACAGTATGTTCTGAGAAAATTCCTGGAGCTTGATTTTGGTTCGAGTTAGTGCAAGGTTTGAGTTAGCAAGGGTTCGAGTTATCGGGAGTCAACTTTACGTTACAATAATTCAATTTTTTTTTTTCTTTCCCTCTCAGTTTCGTACCTGTATACCATCACTTAACATCAGCAAGCTGTATGCAGAATCTTTGTACCAAAAGCTGTCCACAAAAGCAGGTAACATCAAGAATATCTTGTTATTCAAGAGTGCAGCGCTTTTAAAGTGTTTAAGAATAACAGATAGACTGCAAAACAGACACTTTTTCTGTTTAAGTTATAATGTTGAGCTATATAGATTGATCCTTGCATGCTATTTTCACACTTGCTCCACACCTTTGGCTTGAATACTGTTGTGCTCCTTTGATCATTGCAAAAATGTACCGTCTGTTTTGCAGTAG